GGGGGCCCGGGGGCGGGGGGTGCGCAGACTGCATGTGAAAGGCGTAGTGTGTGTAAGGGAGGCCAGCCGGGGTGGGAAGGGGAGGGGGGAGCCATTGCACATGGCAAGAGAAAGAAATCACTCATTCGCTTGAAAGAGGCTCTCGCAAAGCAGACCGTAGTAGAAGTAGACATGGGAGACAACGGGGAAGTAGAGGCAGACAAGAAGCGAGGGGTCCATGCCGTGCAACAGCCCAGAATCCGATTAAAGTTTATGGCGGGGAGGTTAAAAGCGCTTTCATCCCGCCCCTCCCCTGGCGAATACATTAAGTTTCCTGGCTGCGTTTAAAAGGACAAAGGGAAGGCAACAGCGGGAGCTGCTGCTTGCATTTGTATTGTCAGTGCAGGGAGCCAGTGTAATGCAGTATGCTGGTATTCCTACGTACTAGTATGTCTGGATTTTACACTGTGGGCAAAATTTCCTCCTCTCTGAGCTCCAGAACAGCGAGGGGGAATTTTGATAAATTCAAGTTGCTTGGCAAATATAATAGGGATTTGATATTAATCCTACTTAACCCGCTGCGAAGATGCTGAGCTCCCGAGCCCTCCCCCCTCCGTCCGGGACTGCGGCGGTGAACACTGAGCCTGCGCCGAGCCGGGCTTTCTCGCTGATGCTGCAGATATAAAGCCGAGCGTTTTCAGCATCGGCATGTGGGGGGGGGTTGTGTAGGGAGAGCGGCCGGAGCAGCAGCCCTTCGGAACGGGGAGCGGTCCCTCGCTCCTCAGCGCCAATTCCGCGCGGCGCGACTGTGCCCCTCCGTGCCCCTGGGCTCCCCAAGGAAAGAGGTGTCAACCTTCCCTTCCTCCCACGTTCACTCACCCCCCCAAAAGACAAAGACACGCTGTGACCGTTGCTTTGAACCGCCTCAACATACCCGGCCGCTTTTCGCTCAGACATGCCACCGCGACGAAACAGAGACGTTTCGCTCCATTCGCCTCCTTTATTCAAAATCACCGTTTCAAACGAGCAATGCACATGCACAGAGCCCGCAAAAACTTGTTTTCCCACACGTGTTCGCGGGGGGGGTAGGGGGAAGAGCAGCCGGCTTCCTGCCCCCACCTCGCTGCGCACACCGCGCACACCCACACGCACACGCCGGTTCTCTTTCCGCCGGCTGCCCCGCGGTCGACAGGGTCCTCCCTCTCCCGCCAGCCCCCCCGAGCCTCCCTCTTTTCCCTCCAGGATCCGGATGGAGAGGGCAGCTGCAGGAGCCGGGCACCCCCCGGGCGCGGGGTTAGGGGCACGCCAGCGCCCTAGGCGATTACAAGGCACAAAGTCAAAGGGAGAAGCGAACCGGGCACTGAAATAAACAAAAGTTGAGCGGAGAGCTTTAACGTTAAAGTTTATTTCCCGCTTACCCAGGTAGGTGACGCTACATTTTAGCAGTCATCGAAGCAGCAAGACTCTGTTCAGAAATAAATCTGTTACTTCTTACATGAGTTTATTCTACTAACCCTCTCGCCCCCTTCCTGATCATCTTCTCCAAGGGTTGTATTTTTTCTTCCCTTCTCCTAGGAAACCCACAAACACGCTTAAAAGACATATTCAAATCATGGCAATAGGAAGAACATAAGCACAAAGACCAAAAGGCTCAAACAGCACTGGGGAAACAGGACGAAAGTCTGAGATCTCAGGCAGCCCCCCTTCCTCCCTGGAGTTTTATGCAGTTACAGCGACTGCAGCGATTTCACAAGAGCACCGCCACGACAGGGGAAGGTGGGAATCTGCGAGAAAGGAGTTTTCTTACCAGCGTGATTCCGCAAAATGCAGAGCCCCGAACGCGCGCCAGCTCTGCCTAAAAGAAAGGCGAGTAAACATTTGCTTTAAAAATCGTTGCTCTGTTCACAGTCTACAGCGGAGGTGGGAAGGGAAAGGATAGGAGAGAATCACTACAGATCACGGGTTTGAGAAGGCAACAGCAGCAACACTCGGGCGTGTAATGAGGATCGTTTCTGAGGACTAAACTGGTGTTTTGCGATGAGCAGCTATCACACTTGCAGCACTAGCAGCAGCGAAGACAGAGGGTAAGGCTGGGCTTTCTGGAGTGCAGCGCTTGACTCGTCCTCCCTCCTCCTCCTCCTCCTCCCTCCCTCCCTGTCTCACTCTCGCTCGCTCTCTCTTTGCTCTCCCTCTTTCTCTCTCTCCCTCTCTCTTTCTGTGTGTGTGTGTAGTGCAGCGCAGGCGGCTCTGCTGCTGCGGCGTCAGGGAAGAGCTACCGAGAGAGCCTTCAGCAGCTCCCACCACTTTGGGCAAACTTGCCGGTTTACTGCTTCTTCTTCTTTTTTTTTTTTTTTTTTTTTTTTTTTTTTTTTTTTTCTTGTGGGGAGTTTTTTCTTTTTCCTTTAAAATTTTTA